AATCGGATTGAAAACATACAGCACCTGCTTCAGAAAATGTGCGAAGATGGCTTTGAGCCAAATATTTATACATGGAACGGTATACTTGCTGGTCATGTGCAAAATGGGTTGCATGAAACAGCAATGCACCTGTTCTCTGAAATGCAGGCTTCGAATATGTGGCCTGACATTTACACTGTCGGAATAATACTGTCTGCTTGTTCAAGGTTGGCCAGTATTGATCGTGGGAAACAGATACACGCACATTCAATTAGATGTAGTTATGATGCAGATGTTCACATAGGAGCAGCCCTTGTGGACATGTATGCAAAATGTGGAAGTATAAGGCATGCATTACTAGCGTATGAGAGAATACCAAACCCTAATCTGATATCCCATAATGCCATGCTTACAGCATATGCAATGCACGGGCATGCGGAGGATGGGATTGCCCTCTTCCGCAAAATGCTTGAAAATGGCTTCACACCAGACCAGGTGACTTTTCTCTCTGTCCTTTCTTCATGTGTCCATATTGGATTAGTTGAAACAGCTCGAGAATTCTTCAATCTGATGCAATACTATGATATAAAACCTACCATAAAGCACTACACATGTATGATTGATCTTCTAAGTCGAACAGGCCAGCTTAGTGAAGCTTATGAACTTATTAAGAATGCTCCCATGAAATCTGATTCAGTGCTGTGGAGTGCCTTCCTGGGAGGCTGTGTTACTCATCATAATATGGAGTTGGGAGAAATCGCAGCAGAGAGACTCATAGAGTTGGAGCCAGATAATACCGGAAACTACATTACGTTGGCAAATTTATATGCTTTTGATGGGAGATGGGCTGATCTAGCAAGAACAAGACTGAAAATGAAGGATAGAGGAATGCATAAGAACCCAGGATGCAGTTGGATTGAGGACAGAGATGATGTTCATGTATTTCTTGCTCATGACAAGTCTCATAAGAGAACAGAAGATATTTATGCTACTTTGGATAATTTAACCCTTCACATGAAATCATGACTAGAAATTGATGTGTAAATGCATAATTGTGAACTCTATCTTTTTGTACAACATAAGGATACAGGGAATCAAAAGTTCGAATTCTAGCAACATTCTCTCCTAATGTTAGGCACTTAATAACAATAAAGAACGGGATCCATGGACATCTTTGCATCTTCGAAATGCCATAAAATTTCTAGATAAATGTTGTTGTTTCCAAACTCAGTACAAATCTAGGGACTCAAGCACCCTACCAGCTTGAATGTGGAGAGCTGTCAGCCTCTGCTCTGGATCAAGTGTTGAGCCGAATTGACTAGCAGCCCATATCAAAGAAGCAGATTTTTCTCCTAGAAGTCGTCTCATGTCTTCATTTATAGTTGCCATGGGAGACATCTCCCTCCCATTTAAATGTCCAATGAGCAGCAACAAGAACTCTCCACATTTCAACCTGAGCAGAGGAAAGATGTGAACAATTTCTAATGCAAAATGATAGGGATATATTAAGAAATTACAAAAGGAAATTACTATTAATGAATGAACAAAGGGAAGAGTTTCACTAAAGGTCTTTTAGTAATTTTAGTGTCTGGACTGCACTTTTAATTTGCAGCTTGACTTGAAAAACACTTCTTCTTTTTTTTTCTTTTTTTCTTTTTTCTTTTTTTTTTTTTTTACAGAAAGAAAAACAAGAAAAGGGTTTCATTTTTCCATTAAGGCAGGAAACAAATTCTATACCTACAACTACCCCAATCCAATGATAAAGATGACATAGCTTCAAACAGAAAAGGAAGAGAAAAACTCTCCATTTGGCCAGTCAATAGGAAAGAGACTATTACTTAAGAGGTACTTCAAGCATAAATCACAAAAACTAGGGTGAGAGAGGAGCTTGCTTTAAGTGCAAATCAGTTTCAAACAAGATATAAAAATGATGAGTCACATCAAGTTCCCAGGACAATGGGATATGCACATCAAGAAAAAATAATTGCATTTAGGTACCTTAAATTTTCATCAACTTGCTTGTCTCGTATGAGCTCTGTGACTTCCTCAATGCCATTACATGTTGCAAAATCCTTGTAAGAGCAAAAACAAATGCACCTGGTTACGTGGGTGCAAAGGATAAGGAGATTCATTACTCAAAATTCAGCTAAAGCTTCAGAATGAATGATTCCCTGTTGCCACCACTCACTAGGGAACTAAACTTCCCCTTGGGTTAATTGTATCACCACCTTTAATGTCTCATGTCCTAGCTTAACCTTCAATACCTGATTTAAAGGAAAAAAGTGAAATCTTTATACAATCTCAATATTTAGGTGTCTCATTTTCTACTTTCTGAATGTTTTTCTCCAAGCATCCTTGATAAACATCCAATTCTATGCCACATGGCTGCAACAAATTATCTCCTAAAAGAAAGTCCTTTGAAGAGGCTTTTGACTGGCAGATTCTAGGGGGCTGTCAACATGATGCTAGGTAATGCTTCGGAAAATCACAACTTCCTAGTCATGGAATTAAGCTTGTTCTGTTGCATATATGGCAGAGAGTTGCCAACTTGTTAAGTCATTTATTGTCTGCCCCTAACGGGGCCAACATTTCATTGACTATCATGATATTAAGCTTACATTCAGAGTTCAGAATTTGGTATGTGTAACATCTTAAAACTAGGTTGTTTAGTAAAAAGAATGAGCACCAAGGAAATCAAACCTGAGGAAACTAATTCATTTAGTTGTGAGGCTTATAACCAAGAAAACAGAAAAATGTAAAGAAAAGTAAAAGTTTGTACCAAATTGCAGAATGAGATGATAGAAAAGATTAAACCATTAAAACATAGAAAACAGACCAACAGATGTAAATATGATCTGCAAATGCTATTCCCAGAAACTAAAAAGTACAATAACATCTCTTTGACTGCCAGTCAAATGGACTATTTATGCAACTAGATACCATCTTTATTGAACAGATCTTAGTGAATGTGCTTTATGAATGGGATAATTTATAATTGCCATATAATCAATTCAAAAGGGCACTAAGTCATCTAAAAGATTGTAAAGTTAAGCAACCACAAGGATATAGAAAAGGATTTAAAGCATAGACTAATAACTTATAAATAAAATTGGCTTTTGGAACTTAGCAGAGAAATCAAAGAAAGTCTGGAATTAAGAAGCAAAAGAGTACCATCTGATTGGCTGATGAATCTAGCATTATTGAGATTAAAGCATCTAAGCATGCACCCTGCTCAAGTACTCCTCGAGTTGATAAGATATTCATCAAAACCTGCAGCCCATATCAAAAGAAAATTAAAGATTACATTTAGGGTTGAGACATAGACACCTTATAGACCCTTTGTGAAATTCAGGTCAATTGTGATCCCAAAAAAGAAAAAGCAGGTCAATTGCAAATGTAGAATTTCACTATATTTGTGTTGTTTCATACACCATTCGTTTCCAATCTCAATCTCATATATCATTAATGCTCAAAAGTAATGCAATACATGGGGTATCAGACATTCAGACATTCAGACATTCAGTCTCCAAAAATTACACGATCTGGTGGTCTTTGCCATGTGTTTCTAAGGCGAAATGGGTTCAATTCCAACAAGAAATAGAAACTGTCAGCTCCCTGACACCCCTAGATTCATTATTCTACATAAGTTCAAACTGCTAAAGGTTCTTCTTTTTAATACACAAATTGGTAAAGTTGAATGCCCACAAATACATTTTATAGGGTTGTCTGCTGTTAAACACGTTCATGAGACTTCTGAACGACTTATCCATTAACCATAAAGAAAATGTTCAAACAATTCCATACCTCTTGAGGAACGATGGATGCTAATTTCTATTTTCTAATGCACCAAATACCATCACTCTTAAAATGGATCTGGAAATTACATAATTTATACAATGTTCAAACAATTCCATATGTTTGGATCCTTCCCAATGCAAACCTCTTAAGAAATGATGGATTCTAATTTCTAAAGCATAAAATACTAATCTAACTTAAACTACATAATTTAAATAAATTTGTAAAGCCACTGCAATACCTGGATGGCGTTGTTTTTGTGGGCCAAATGAGTGCTATCCGGATGCAGCAGACAACAACCTTCTAAGACCCTCAGCGCAAGAGCAACTTCAGCATCCGTGGAAGGACTTGTGATTTTCATAGGCTTCACACTGAATATGTGATCCAAACTGGTCACCTTTTCATCCTCCATTTCCTTCAAGGAATGCTGAAACAGTACAGGAACCACTGCGGGAAAAATCGAAAATTCATACCAATTAAAAAAAGAAAAATAAAATGGAATTGGTGGAGTGGAAGTCGAAGAACCTTGGAGCTCAGGGATGGATTGTGTCTGGCAAAAGAGGAGGATAGTGGAATCGGACTGGGCGATGGATCGGAGAGATTTGAGGAGGGAGCGGAGACCACGGAGTCGGAGAAAGGAGAACTCGGCGCTGGCGTCACGGAGGCCGGTGCGGAGGGCGAGGGTTACTTCTCTGTAGATTCGCTGTTCGTTGAGGGAGTTAACTAGCTCTTCCACCGCCTTTGTTGCCGCCGATGCTGCCTCGGACTCAGGCTCCGATGACGACGACGGCAGAGATGATTCATTTGAATTCGCCGGCTTCGTCACTCCTTCGCTCCACAATGGCTTCTTTAGATACATCGCTGTTTCTATCCCTCTCGAGTTTCATCAATTTTCCTTTTCATCTCTTTTTAGGAAATGTTCCTACACTTATCGCTGTTAGAACATAATAATAGGGCCCAGCTACAAAACGACCACGGATTAATTAACTGGGAAAACGAGAAGCCTTGACTCTTTTTTTCTTTTTTGCCTTTCAGTTCTGATTTGCCGTTTGAATTGCAAAATTCTGACTGTTAAAATGGAGCTCGCCCTCACATTCAGAGGTTTCCCCCATTCAAGGGTGATAGGCTTAAACTAGCATTTTTTTTCTTTTACAATCTCTTAATTTGATTAGAGGTTATAATTTTCTCTTTTTTCCTTCATTTCTATCAAATCAAATACGCTTTACTTGCATAAAAAAATTTCGAACAAGTTTTAGTTTTATATTTTTATGGCTAACTTAACATCTTTTTTTCATTCTATCACCATTTTAAATAGAAAATGGTTCAATCACATGAGATAGATATACATCAAAAAACCTACAAGAGATATGATTCTAGTTGGATTATACACATGGTGGCTTTTTATTGATCCACATGGCTCATGGAATAGTTGACATTGATAGAGTTAACCTCACAAGTCTAGCAAACATAAGGTTCATGCAGAATACCTAGTTGAACTATACCTATGAGGCTCTTGGGTTTCTAGCTTATGAGCTATTTGATTAGGACATGTGTAGTTGGTAAGCTCTACAAGTATAGTTATAACTCAGACTTGGTCACTAAGATTAAAGGACATGAAACCCACACCATATCAAGTAGTACACAAACAAGAGCACTATTGCACCCACCTTAAAATGTCAAGGATGTTGGCCTAACCTCCTTTGTTCTATGCACATATGTTTTAACTGTATAGATTATCGTACTTGTCACTTATATTATTTTAATAAGAATATATAACGTATGAAGAATGACAAGTCCATCCACCATGTGAAAAATCAAGAAAGGACTGTAAAAGGCCTCTTCTTCACCATTGCAGGTAATTTTTTGAACCTCTTTTCCTTCCCTGCCATTTCTTCCCTCCTTCCCCATCTACACTGAACATTGCCTAACTTAAGCATCAGAGGGTGCTTGCCTTAACGAGTTCTTCCTTTTCCCCTCGCAAAGGTGACCCAGATGCTTAGAACCTCATCCAGCTATTCCAGGCATCATATCAACAATTATTAAGAGAGGCACTTCCAGTACAACTAATTTCACGAGTAGCTATAGACTGCCCGTTTATAGCCACTGGCCACTGGTCAGAGCTCCACATTCAATGGAACCTCCCAACAACCAATTTTGTTCAAGAGAAAACCTCATATATGAACCTTTTTTGAAACACCAAAGCTTTGATAGTTAGAATCAGCAAATAAGTTCCTTCCTGAACAAATGAAGTAATAAAAACAGATACACATGAGATTCTGATATACATACCAAAACAATAACATAATTTTATTAACACATGAATTGCCAATCCATTGGACAAATTCCTCCGGAGTCCACAAACCATAATTACAAAGAAAGGATGCAATGCACAGGAAGAAACAACAATGGTGATCAATTTCCAGATGGTCGAGAGAAATTTGTGTACAAGAGTAACATGATTCATCAATAGCTCAATGAAACGACAGTAACACATGACCTACAACGAAATGGCAGATTCTACTACCAGTTGTCTTTAACTATCTTGGATTTTTCAAGTATGAACTTGCCTTCCTTGTACTTCTGTGATGCCTCGTAAGCTCGCTCATATTTCCAGCCCAACACCTCGCGGCAATCAGCACAGTAGATGTCAGCCACGGTGTGGAGTCCGGTTAAGAGGTGCCTGTCTTCTTTAGGCCCTACAACAACATTCATTGCGTGGGAGAACAGAAATGCCCGCCCATTTCTTCCCTAAGAACAACATTACCCAAAAAGAACATCGGAAACAAGTTTTTCTAAAACCCAATCATTCCCAGAAATTCACATCAATTCAAAACAAACAAATATATTACAGTACTGTATTTTGTAAGTTTGAATTGATCTGTATTAAACCACAAAACATTAGTTTTTTTCACCAAGAAGAAGTTCTTCTAAGACCCAATGACACTCATAAATTCACATCAATTCAAAACAAATATATAATAGTTTCTAATTTTGCAAGTGTAGACTATACCAAACTGTAAAATATCAATACCAAACTGTAAAACATCAATATGAAAAAGACCAGCCTCTAAAGGCTGTGAATTACTCTTTTGAATATATAATGTATAAATAATAAGGAATAGTGATTCATAGTCTATCATACACGAACTGCGAACACCACAAACAGCACAGCCCATGATCATAAGGACTATAGAAAATTTTTCTGTTAATAATATCCAACCCTGCAAAATCTGAGTCGAATTCAATTATGAATTCTCTAATCTAATTATCATATGGAAGAAAAAATCCAACTAAATATAAGCTACGAAAGAAGTAATTAAAGGAAAATGAGAGAAGATCAGTACCAAAACAAGGAAAAACTCAAGATTTTTCGGTTGTACTTGTACCTGAAAAGCCTTGGAGATTATATCATCGTGAAGAGAGACATGATTTCGGCAATTACAGCAGCTGTATATTCGCGGACCGATCAATTCTGCCATTAATGAATAGAATTCGAGCTCGAAAACCTCAGTGATCAGAAACAGCGAAGAATGGGTCTTGGAGAAGATAGAATTTGTTTACCTAAAACAAATTCAATAAAGAAGAAAATTGAATTGGGCGTTAGCGTGCAAGACCAAGATTAGAGCAGGGGTGGAATTTAAGGTAGAGTAAAGATTCTGTATAAGATACTAAAGAAATTGAATAAACAAATAAGACAGATAATGACGGGATACTATTAAGCCAAAAGCAATTAAAGATTTTTACCTTTTATGAAGGAAGAAAATAGGCTGTACGAAAAAGAAAAATACCCAACTTTTTTTTTTAATTAAT